TTCTCTTTAGCTTGTCTGCTCTGTTTCTCATCTTTTTTATTGAAACTAACACCTAGACAATTTGTTTCTCGGTCATTGTCATTGCTCACCTCCAATTTTAGCTCTCCAGATGGTATCACACTTCTCTCTCAACACATGCAACTAATTCAGCCACTCGACATGTTTACTCCTCACATTTATACAAAACACATTTAAACATTCACTTTTCATTTGCATCTGCATTTCATACTGTTTCGAAAAAAAGAACTCACACAAGAGAAGCATCTGCCAGAGCTCCAGTTCTTGCAATTTCATTGTGCTTCTTTTCTTCTTTTTTCTTCATTTGGTAATGAGGGGAACTATAACATGGTTATGTAATACTTGGCTGACCATGTCAAACAAGGTACCAATATTTCCTTAAATTTACACCTATGTAAATATCTTTGAGAGTGATCTTTATGTGTGTGTGTATTCCACATGGATGGATGCACACGGTCACGTATAGAGCATGTATTTATAACAAGGTTCGAAGATTGGCAGCTTAACTGCCAATTCCTATCAGACAGGAAACAAACCAGTCTCTTTAGCACAAAACCACCAAAGAGACAGTGCTGTCTGGCAGTTGCTTTCAGGTGAATGATCGATTGTTCCTTTGCTTCCAGTTCTACTAGTGAAATTTCCACTGTGGACCAGAAATCCTCTAATGCCACAATTTACCCTTTCAGTACTTTCACCCTCTCGCCCAGGCAGTAGATTTTATCTTAAGCACTCAGGAGGTTTTCTTTCACTTAATTGTATCCATATAATAATTTCTTGGTCTCTAACTTCAGCATTTGCTCAAGTGTATTTAAATAACAGCAGATGATGCTTGCCGGCAGTGTAGGGGTAAGAAGACAGGCTGGTTTGGTAGCTAAGCAACAGGCCTAGAAGTGATAATTTATAATCTGCATTGCTTTGTGACCCTCAGCCACTTTTTTGCCTAGTTTCATTTCTGGTAAGATGGGGCTAGTAGGCTGATAGTGGGTATTTAGATGACTTCTATTAGATAAATAGACAAAAAATATTAGGTACTTCTTAAATCACAGAATCCCATTTTCCCTCTAACCTGCAGTGAAACTTTCTTAGACTGTGGGATTTTGTAGTTAAGGCTCCCTTTGTGGCTGAAATATATCTAAAAGCCACTCTACGTGTCATTGGTTTTCCCCTTGAGATGTAGGTTAACCATTGATTCTATACGCTACTAACCTCACCATATGTGACCTCAGGAAATTGATTAACCTGTCTCCTCCTTCAGGCTACTATTGCCCCCATGCAATAAAATAAACAAATCAATCTTTTTTATGTACTTTCTTGTATTCATTTGTCTTTCAAAGCTCCTCAGTTTCTCTTTTCCCAGCTCTGCAATTATTCAGAGCCCATGTAACCTGTTGGCTGGAAGCTTTACCTCCACTCCCTTTCCTGAGATATGAAAAGCTTCTCTTGCTTGGTAAACAAAACCTATTAGTAAGAGTTTGTGTTACAAGTATCTATTATACTGAAAAAAAAAAAAACCCACAAGAAAAAACCCCGCCAACCCCCCAAGTATCTATTATACTATAATATCTTGGCTTAGAAAACAATTTACCATTAGAAATGCAGGTACAAGAATTTTCGTGAGGGATTTTTAACACATCACACTAATGGCATTAATAGAGCTAGGACACACCACCTTGGTCAGAAGGGAATACAAACAGTGCCCGCTGCACTTTTCTCCTCAGGAAATTCTTGTCTTGTAGCTCCCAGTGCCTGACAAACATGGTAATGTGTCTGTAAATTTCAGCCGACAGAAACACATCAGGTAATCAGCAACCTCAGAAAGTAAACAAAGCTGAGCCACTGAGAGTGATCCCCCAGCAGCCAGAGGGGTTCTTGGAGGTGGTATTAGGAAAAGCACACCCAGACAGGAAGGAACACGGAAGATAATTCTCTTTATCCTGGGTGGGAAACTGCCCTCCAGTCACTCCCAGAACGCTGAGACATTAAATACTTGCCTGCCTCCTTTGGCTGGTAATTAGCTGGTAGACCATGTACCTTGATGGATGCTTTGTACTTTGTCATCAAAACCCTTTTCATCTCTCTTTCTTTTTCTACTTTGAAGAGTTAAACAGACACCATAAAACTGTGGAGAATAGTATAACAAATACCAATGAACCCACCTGGAATTTAAAACTGGAACCATTTTCACATGATGCTCTGGACTTAAAGCATAGCTAACATTGGCTTCCTTTTCTTCACCTAGTCCCATTCTCTTCCCTGCTCCTCTCATACAGGGAACTGTTTTATGAATTTGAAGTGATTTTTCCAGTCAGTTTTTTAAAAACTACTTATAAATTTGTTGCAGAAACAACGGTGCATGTGTAAAAACTTAGATAAGTGATCATCTCCTTACTCCATTTAATTATTTCTTCACTCTCAACCCTTATTATACTTTTGTTGCCCTGTCTTTCATTTTTTTTCGTGCATGTTTGTTCTCCTCATCTACATCTTTATCTGGCTCATTCTGTTGCCTTCACTTTTTTTCCTTCCTTATCTTTGTTCTTGCTTCTTACTTCTGAGATACATATTCACACGTGCTCATCAGCGTGTGCGCTCATCTAACCCGTACACTGTCAAGAACTGCACAGCAAACCCTAGCCATCCTCTTGCTGGTGGACCTTCCCAGATTTAGCCTCCAGTGATGTGGTCCTCACTACCAGAAAAAGAACAGTAAAGTCCACACCAACAAAGGGGGGTACACAGAAGATCACGAAGTCTCTGACCTCTAGATTAACTCAAGTGTCTGATAATCAATCCTCTTACGGAAAATGACCCATTTGTGGGTGATATATAAGCCTCGTGAATGAACAGTGCATCAAATAGTGCATTCAAATTAATGTGGCTGCCCCAGTCCTATTTTGCTCTCTCCTGGTGATGGAAGCAGCTGGAGTTTCCAACTACAACTTGTACAGTGTTAGGAGAGATTTGACATTTAAAAGGATCGGGATCCACTTTCACCCTGATAGTTTTGTAATTAGGTCTTGGGATTTCCCTAGAGCATAGTAAAATTATTCTCTTTACTGTATATACCTCCTGTTGCAATTCTCTGGTCCACTTACTGAACTCCCACTCAGATCAAAGGGCCACATGTTTGACTCACCAGATTCTTGGCCAGCTCCTGCCCTCTCCTAGGTTACCTGATGGGTTTGCCATGTGGCTTCTCTACCACATGCTCCTGTCCTCAGTCAAACACTGACACTCGTATTTCCTTGTATACTCTTGATTGACCTCTTCCTCTTGCAAGAGATCCAGAGAGCATACTTGTACTCAGGCAAATGTTAAACCTTTTCCAAGGAGCTTGAGTCATTATGGATATCCTGCTCTTCATTTTCACAAAACTTTTGTGGTGCACAGGGGTGCTGAAGGGAGGAGGCAGAGAGGTGACGTACCCTTTCCCCCAGTGATTTGATCTTCTTTGCCCACTTCTTTGCTACATAATTAGCCCTTGCTTTATTCGCAATTTGGTTGCATCTGCCCAAACGGATTTAACTTCTTTGAGGGTAAGGCTCATGACTATGTCATTCAGTCTGTTTGTATGAAAGAGGCCCTGTCTACAGAGCTCTATGTCATAGGCATACTGTAGTTTTTTTAGTTTCCTGAATATGGTCTTCAGTATACCCTAGTCCCTCGAACACAGGGTTATCTTTGCCTGAAACATCCCCAGTAAACCCTTTCCCCACTCTGACTCCCATCCCAGTCTACCCCAGATCTACATCTAGCTAACTTACCTCATATGGTTTGTCTCAGTGTAGATATCGCTGTCTCCAGGAAATCTTCTTTGATATTCCAAGTCTGAGAGCAGTCTCATCATCACTTACTACGTTCTGTCCTTATTGCCGACATGCCCGTATGCCTCCCTGACTAGACTGCAAGCTGCGGCTGTCGTGTTTAGCGTGTGCCTTGAATGCCGGGCACAGAGTCTCGTACACGGTGAAACTCTTTATATGCGCCAGTATTATATAGATCGAGGGGGCTCTTACTTTACTCTGTCCCACAACCTCGTAAAAACATTTAACTTTTTTTACCTCTCCATTTTTCTTTTTCTAGTCAATTACAGAGGAAGGAAAGTTGTTTTACTCTTAACCTGTTCGTGAGTGAATGCACTGCACAGATTGACCTAAGGGAGGAGAACAACACCTTTACACATGCTTAGCTACTGAGTTCACTGGGCTAAAAGCTTGAGTTTAATGAGTATAAAATTCACCTTGCTAAAATCCTCACCTTAAAGTTATGAAGCACCTTAAGCAGAATCCATATTTCAGTTTAAGAAATTCAAATAATGCTTCTGATGACACATTCACCAACATCTCATATGTGTACTATATATACAGCCTTTTTATCTCAGGATTTCACATGGCCTTACCAAAACTAATTAACCAGTGGAAACAAGATTCCGTGTGTAGAGGTAAAGAGATGGCATCACTAACTCCTTTTATCATTGTGAACTAAGAAACTCGTAGATTCTTATCCACTAATGAGAAAGTATACATTCAAAGTTGTATTAGTCCAAGGTGTTTCTTAATCCAGCAGACTTTCCTGCCCTTTGGCAATTAGTCGTGCTTATATAGGCTGCCTGTGCAATAATGATTTGAAAACTTTTGAAATGTTGACCCCTGAGTGTGTAGCTAAGCTGAACAATTTCTAGAAGGAGTCAAGTGATTATTTTTCCCATCCCTTCTTGTATAGTTCTTTCTGTGTGAAAGGAAAAAAAAAAATCTGGTGAATCATGTCAAACAAGTAGAGAAAAATGGCCCTGAAATGTACAAAATGGCAGAATACTGACTCATCACTTTTACACTTACATTATAGCTTATTTTAATATAAATTCAAGCTGCTAAAATTACTCCCACAGACAGCTGTGTAAAGTCACTTCCCCTCCCCACACGCACATTTTCTTGTAACCAGAATCTTAGAGTAATTCTTTCAAATGTCTGTAGAGGAGAAGATGAAGATGACATATCCGTCTCCAAACGAGGAATCCACCTCAGTGTGGTGACCATTTCTGGAGGAGGTACTCCGGAGAGCTGCAGTTCCTCTTGCTCAGGAGATTCTGCTCCTGTCCAGCTCGAACGCATGGTCTGCTATTGGGCCAGTCTCCTCACTCTGTGGAATAGGTGCCATGGAGGAGCACGGCGCAAAAGTAGGTTCTGGATTCAGAGAATCTTTGCGCAGATATTCTCTCTGTTGCCTTCCAGCTCTGTCACTTGGATGGATCATCTCTCACTTACACTTGCTGCCCAGGCTTGTGGTGAGGGTGACGTTAGATCATGTAAGTAAGGTGGCCAGCCCTCTGACTGGCACATAGTAGTTACTCAATAAATGTTAGCTCCTTCCTCTCTCCTCTGTGCTCTTGCACACTCTCTTTCTCTCTTGGCAGATTCCCTTCTTTCTTGTCACCTTCAAGGAGCAGTACTTAGAACACTCATTCCGAGAGTTACTTCGTCATTCCAGTCCATATTGATTGGCATTTGGCTTTAAGTTACTCTTAGTTGAGGTCACCAGTTTGCTATTACATTTCTAGTTATATGGGTAGGTGTATTCTGAATATTCAGCAAAAATGTCTGTTGGACATGTTTTATTTTTACATAGCTGCCCTAGTACCTAACAGTGTGGGTAGGTAATCAAGGGGCTCCAAACTATGTAATTGATTGTTATTAGCTAGGACCCAGCAGATATGTAAGATGTTGATAAGGCTAAGCTCTAAAAAGACAAACACAGTGCTTTACCCACTTTGGGGTTTCAAGCTTCTAGTTAATTAAACAGTCATCCTTTCATTCTATGAGCTGACCTACTTTTTAAGATAAACTATCAGCTGGTTGAGGTTTCCCCTCCTTATATTCTTCTCCTACAGAAATCAAAACAAAACTAAAGTTTCTCACTCTGTTATTGCATTTGAATTTCAGGGACTTTGAATAGCTAAGCGCATATTGTACAGTCCCTCACTCTATTCGTAAGGATTTAGATGATGGGTTTAATGTTGGTGGCATGAGAAAACAAGATTCAGGGAAGATAACCAGTAACATTCCTGCCAGATGTGATCAAATATACTGAGGAAAGACGACATAGGGACTGTTCTTTGGGAGCTGCTAACCAGCATACGCTGAAGATGAGATTGAGTTAAATGTCGCTAAGTATTTTTTAAGTACCTAAAAAATTCACAGCCAGAGCAATTACAGATTACTAGATAAACAAAAACATCTCAATGTTTATAAGTAATTTCTTTCAATAAATCAGTGTCACTCGAAAGAAATTATTATCCATCATTAAAAATATAAATCCTTGCTGTGCCTCACCCTAGAGCACCTTATGTGGAGTTGCCCATTTGAGAAGCAACTCAAATGCAAAATAATACTTTCAATTCAAGAGTCTAATATTGTGACTTTTCCCTTTAGGGCTAAGGTAAATTTGCCTTTTACTTTGTTCAGAATAGTGCTGGTTTATGCCTGTTGTCCTGACATAATTATGCATTGCACCCACTTTCACTATCAAAAAGTTTTTTTTTTTTTTTTAAAGATTTTATTTATTTGACAGAGAGAGATACAGCGAGAGAGGGAACACAAGCAGCGGGAGTGGGAGAGGGAGAAGCAGGCTTCCCGCGGAGCAGGGAGCCCGATGCGGGGCTCGATCCCAGGACCCTGGGATCATGACCTGAGCCGAAGGCAGACGCTTAACGACTGAGCCACCCAGGCGCCCCTATCAAAAAGTATTTTAATTTGAATAATAATTTTTTCTTTATCCTTTTTGGGGTCCTAATTGCAGCTCTTTTTGTTTTCTGTGTTCATAGCATTTTATAGCCTGGGGCCTATCTCTCCAGATTGGTATTTAGTGCCTGGCATATTGTGGTTCCCCACCCATGTTGGCTAAATAGTTCCTGTTATTTGTTCAGTTGTGTCCCCCTACAAGATACGTTAAGGTTCGAACCTCTGTTACCTTATTTGGAAATATGACCTTTTTGGGAATTCAGTATTCGAAGATACAATCAAGTTAAATGAGATCATACTGGATTAGAGTGGGTCCTAAATCCAATGACTGGTGTCTCTATAAGGAGAGAGGGATTTGAAGACACAGAGGTTACACCAAGGACAAGGCATGTGAAGACTGAGGGAGAGGTTAGATTTATGCTACCACAAGCTGAGGAATGAGAAGCATTGCCAGCAACCACCAAAAGCTAGAAGAGACAAGGAAGGATTCCTCTCTAAGGCCTTCAGAGGGAGCGTGGCCCTGCCAACACTCTGATTTCAGACTTCTAGTTTCCAAATTGTGAAAGAATATATTTCTGTTGTTTTAAGCCACTCATTTTGTGGTAATTTGTCATAGGAGCCCCTAGGAAACTAGCACATTTTCTCATTTCACCTGTTCTGGAAGATGATTTTGGGTTCACAAAGTGAACCAAGTCTTTTTTTTTTTTTTTTTTTATTTTAGGCTCCATGCTCAGCGTGGAGCCCAACATGGGGCTTGAACTCATGACTTTGAGACCAAGACCTGAGCTGAAATCAAGAGTCAGATGCTAAACAGACTGAGCCACCCAAGCGTCCCTCTATTACCCAGGTCTTAAATCAGACCATCCCAAATGTGTACTTCAAATGAGGTAAAATATATCCTCAGTTTTGGCCACCTTAGAAAGTCTCCCAGACTGAATTTTGCATTTGACATAGAGTCTATATTTTAAAGTAGGATCATCCCCATCATATTCTTCAAATTTGGTGAAAACTTATATAGCATGGCAACCATAGGTAAACTGACAAATTGTCAGAAACTCTTTAAAAATGTTTGTATAGGTAGATGAATATAGATACAGATTTATCTATTACAACATTTTAAACAGGATACCTATCCTGTTGTTAGTTTTTTTTTTTTAAAAAGTGATGTCTATATCTATATAGCTGTAGCTGTAGATATGGATATTTATACATTCTATCTCTATCTGTATCTCTTTTTATGTCTATATCTCTATCCATATATGGTATTTTTCAGTTTCTGTCCATCTGTCAGTCTGATCTATCTGTCAGTTGATAGATGAATCAATAGATATTGATAGATATAGATATATAAAGGCCATTTACATTTGCAGGAAGTGCCGTGAATAAAAGCTACCTTTCAGAATACTTCACGATTGGACCTCACTCCTTTACAAAGTTATTGTATCCTTTCTGAAGTTGTCTTCCTTCTCTTGCTGAGTCTATTCAATGGGAATAAAATCTACATGCTTTCCTAAACTGCTGTTAGGATTGAGGGAAAACATTCAAGTCCTGATGGCACTAATGGCAGAGAGACCAGGAAGGGCTGGATGCTGCCGAAACCCTGCTGGGGAGTAAGGAACGAGCCATCTGGACCTCCAGCTGAGGCCAATTGGATCCAGACAAGAGCTGCCAGCAGGAAGGGTCTGGCTCTGGATGAGGGCCATCCCTGCCGGAAGAAGTGGGCTGGCCCTGGAGCAGAGGAAGCGGGATGCTCTTCTCAAGAGAAAGGACTTGGAAGACGGGTCCTCTCAGAGGTCACAGTAAGGGACAGTCACATTATAATTATTAACCTTGACAGAAGGCCAGCAAGATGATGAGTACTGTTGAGAACATGGAAACATTCTTGATTTTTGTCCAGGGAATCATTTATTCTGGTAAAGAGGTCAACTCTTTGGCGTTCTTGTCCCTTACATCGTAACTCTGCAGAGGAGTCATTTACTTGAACCGAAGAGACCAACTTTTTTCTTTTATCGATCCCACCCCAGATGTTATATTTCTACTGAAAATTTCTTTCTTCTAGTGCTGCTGCTCTCATCCCTTTACTCTCAGTTATTTTGGCATCAACTCCAGGAGGAAAGAAACATCCCCTGGTTCATCACATCTTTTCTAGTAGTATCTACAATATTTTCAAATGATATGGTTTAGTAACATTATTGTTTCCCTTCATAGATTTCCTAGTTACTAGATTTGTATGAGCACCTCTTTAATTCTAGAGTAGACAGGGGAACTGTGAATGAACTCTCATTATCTGCCATAGTTTATTCATTGGGTTTAAAAATAAGCTCTTGGTGAAATTTTGTCTAATTATGTGATTTTGGGGGGGGGTCTAGTTTAGATAAAAGATGATTCAAGGTAATTACTGTATTTACTGACTTGACCTGTTCTCTGGCAGAATGAGTCTGTGCTGGTCAATATTTCTCTGTCCATCAGTATCAGGAAAAGCATAGGAACATTGTTGCCATGAGCACCATGACACAGAATCTAGAGAGTTTTTGTTCTTTAACTACGCTGAACCATTTTACGTATTTTTCCCATCAAATTATTTGGTTTTGGCACTACCTGGAAAATAGTTAATACATGGTTTATTATTATCAGAAATGTGCACCAAACCCAGAAATGTGCATCAGACCCAAGAGTTCGTTTGTTTTTAAGATGCTTGTGTTAAGGTTACCTCTGGAGTTTTTGATTCATTTGTTCTAGGGTGGATACACATTGTGTGTAATTTTGTAAAACCATCCCAAGTCAACCTGATGCATATCCCAAATAAGTGTCGTTAGTTTAAAGAATGTTCCATTGTACATTATACACTCAGCAATCCAAGGGTTTCAGTATAGCCTAGTTTTTGTCTCCTTTCTGCCTTCCTCAAAATGCTAAAATTGTGCTTTGTACATAATGACAAGTTGTTCAGTTGTCTCTACACACGTAGGCCTGCAGACTCAAGCCCATCAAATTCCATATTCCTGGCAGTCAGACTTTTCCATAGCTACAGACACCAAAGACTTTTATTCATTTGGGAGTCTTAACCTTGTCCCCAATTTGACCTGCTGACAATAAGCAGGGTGAACTAATCTAGATTAGTCTTTTTTGTTTCTCGTTTACCCAATACTGAATAGTAAAAGGGCCAAGAGGGAGGTTGGCAGTAGTGAGCTGAAGCAAGGGTCCTCATCAATCAGATCATCAGTCATCAGACATCCATCTTCTGGGTGATGGAGAGCAGACCGAGAAAGGCTGAGACAGGCAGCAAAGTAAAAAGTGAGGTGGCTAACTCAGTTTGTATGACTGTTAACACAAAACCAAATAAAACAGCAACAAAGGATTAACAAAATAAGAGAGGGTTAAATAGTACTGTATTAGACTATATTTCGTTTGAGACTGTTTCTATTGGAACACATCACAAGTC